TCGACTAACAAAAACACGTTTGGTATCCAAGTCCAACAATTTAAAACCTTTAATTCCAACAGGAATACCCAGAAAAACACATTTGTGAGCTCGTGGGTCAAACTTATGCTTATGGCCTTCTATTGCTGTGGCATAAGCCAAACAACCAAACACTCTAAGGTTCATATAATCAGGAGGAACGTTGTACAACATCTCAAAGGGTGTTTTGTGGTTTAAAAGTGGTGTTGGTGTTCTATTAATGAGAAAGGCAGCATGGAGAACAAAATGACTCCAATAAGTCAAAGGTAACCCAGATTGGAATTTGAGAGACCTAGCTACGTTAAGGAGGTGTTGATGCTTTCTCTCAACCCTCCCATTTTTTTGGGCTGTGTAAGCAGAACTCATCTCATGAACAATTCCATGAGCAGAAAAGAAATCTGCCATATGGAACTCTGCCCCCTGATCTGTTCTAACTGTTAGGATAGATACATTAAATTGAGTATGAACCATAAGACAGAATGATTGCAAGGTGGACCTTGCCTCGCTTTTGGATTTCAAAAGAAACACCCAAACTGCTCTACTAAAGTCATCCACCAAGTGAGAAAATAAGCAAAACCTTCTCTTGAAAATGTATTAAGGGGACCCCAAATATCAACATGGATAAGGGAAAAAGCATGTGTACTGTTAGAGGTGCTGATTGGAAATGGCAGCCTCTTTTGCTTTGAAAAATGACAGACATCACAATGTTTGATGGAAGGCAAAATTACATCAGAACAATGTTTCCTCACATTTCTCATTCTACACAATGAAGGATGGCCTAATCTGGCATGCCAGATGTTGAAATCTTGACTCTGGAAGTTGAAAACTCCTATTGCATAATGTTGGGAAACTTTAGAAACACCAAACACCTGAGTTTTTTACTTTGAAAATAGGTAAAGACCTCTATCCACTTACTTATAGAAACTAAGTTGTAAGTAAAAGAAGGAATAAAGAGGACTTGAGTACGGAATAATCCACAAGGCAGGGATACAATTCCTATGTGAGTAGCAGAGACTTTATGTCCATTGGGAAGATTAACATAAATCTGTGTAATAGGCTTACAATTGATAAAGGACTTCATATCACAAATTATATGATCAGTAGCCCATGTATCAAGGATCCACACTGTTGGGTTCAGTACACCTAAAGTATGGGAATTACCTGAGGAGCTGGCTGCAAGCTGAGAAGGAGTGGAGGTATGCCTTTGGACAACATTGACAGTGTGTGGATGCTGAGAACCTCTAACTGCAACTGCAGCACCGTGTTGCAAATGAGGGGAAGTGGGTGGAGATGGGGAAGGTGAAGCAAACTTTCAAGCATCATTTTCAACTTCTCAACTTGCTCTGCCAAACTGGCCAAAGACAAATCTGCCTCTACATGGCTTCCCCCTGTTGTGATAGATCCACTTCCATCATTCATATTAGTTTCTACAGACCCTGCAAATGAAGATCCTTCCTTGTTCTGCTTGTTCTTGAGTTTGAAACATTCCTGAATTGTGTGATACTCTTTCTTGTAGAACCTACACCATTTCTTGCCATATGTTGTATAGTCTCTAGGATTCTTGCTACCCTGGCCTTACTTCTGCCCTTGGACTGTTGACCAACTGCTAGCAGTGCTTATGAATCAACTCGACCCTTTCCAGAACCGACCCCTTTCATTTGCCTCTCAAGCTAAATCATTTGTTTGAAAACTGACTCAACACTTGGTAATTGTGTGTTCATTAACACTATGAGCAATGTCTTCAGAAAGCGAGTTATAAATCCAGCACCTAACAATGCTATCACATCTATGCCAAGATTGTCGTATGGGATCTACTACTTCTGGGACAGGTATTAATCCATTCACAAATTGCAACTTGTTCTTAGTACTGAGAGCAAGTTCCATTACCTGGCTCCAAAGATTGTAGTTCTAATCTGTGAGTTTCATAGAGATGATTGTTGTAAGTGCTCCATCATGAGCTGGGAGATAGTAAGGGTTGAGGTAGGGATCCTCATATCGAGGAATCACCGGAGCAATAAAGTTGTTGATCCGATTGTTTTTGTGCGGCGGCGTGCGAGGTAGGGTTTCGTCGTTTGTAGTGACTGCATCGTCATTGCCCATCTCAGCTTCATCGGCCACAAACCCATCAACATCAGATCCTTGTGAAGACATTGTGAAGACTGCATCAGAAAACGAGAAAAGATCGAGGAAAAAAGAAGACGGTAGTGCTCTGGCTCTGGTTAACCAGGCTCTGATACCATGAGAAGTATATAGATTTTAGGGTTTTTGGTGAAGAGATCTCAAAATCCTTGAGGTCTTCGTTTTCTGCTTTTCATATATATACTGAAAGTTTAAACCATTCACAAGCAACTAACGGCTAAGTAACAGTGATTATTAACTAACAAAGACAAACTAACAAATCATGAATTGCCACATGTCGAAAAGCATCAACTAAACTAATTAGCGGACTGAAGGAAACGACCGCGTTCTGAGTCCATCATTAGTTTTCTGATTGAGACGGAACGCGGTCGTTTCATGCTGTGTCGACAGTCTTCCTTTAGTTGAACTTCATTCAGCAGCAGTAAACATTTCTTCCTGTTCTTCAAGCTTCAAGCTGCTGCTGCAATGTTGGCTCCATCCTTACTCTCTATTAATCTATGGTTAGGTGAATTTTTCTCTGATTTGGTTCCAGACATGGGAGCTACCTATGGAATGGAGAATTCTAACGACGAGATGGGATTGGTAACGACTCGGATCGACGATGTTGAAGCGACGGCGGCGATGGAAGTAGGAGAGTGCAGGAGCTCCGATGCCTACCTCTTTCCTTCTCCTTTCTTCTGCCCAAACTATGGCTGGGGACAACAAGCGACGGCCAACGATTGGTGGTGCAATGATGATCTGCAACTCTCGTGACGGTGGAGAGGAAGAACGAAGTTTGGATGTGATGACTGATGATGTGTACTGAGTCACGGCGGCAAAACCCGAGTGTGCCTGATGCCGGTGGTATCTCCGACCCAGGAGGTCTCACGGGCGGGTCCGGTTCGATTGTGCGGGTTCATTGAAATGATTATATGATTTTTATTAATAATTTTAATTACGTGTCATGCTGACTAGGCAAAAAGTAATGGAGTTTTGGACAGAAGTGGACGGATTGACCAATTCGTTATTAGTCCAAACATATATTACTGAAACGTGCAAAATTGAAGTATTGTGACAGTTTTGTACAGAGTGAATAGTTTTATGACCATTTATGATAATTAGCCAAAATATAACTGCACCATAGAGTCTCAAGTTGACATGATATCTTGGATATACAAAATAAATAAATAACCTTACAACTTGATTCTACTACTCCAATCCCACTTCAACAGCTGAAGACGAAGCTGCATATTAACATCTCACAGCATCGACAAGGTCGTTTGCACCTCTTAGTTTTATGGACAAGGTAGCTTCTTGGCCAACTATTCATTCTGTTTTGAAACTTTTATGATGAAATAGAGAAAAAGAGGCCACTAATTGCAAATCGATCATCAACTCAGTTTCAACCTTGCATCTAGCACTTGGGTCAGCGAAGTCCATTGACCAATATACTATCATGAATTACAAGGTTGTGCAAAAAAAGGCCGAGACGATTTGTCGTATTGTCAAGATTTTGCTCAAGTGGTTGTTACTTAGTCGAGATTTAAGTAATCCACTCATAAAGGATAAATTGCAAGTTTGGTCACTGAAATTACTAGAACACGCTTGCCACCCAAATTAGTTTATTTCATTCATGATTACTAAAATTAGTTCAACAGTTCAAATTTGGTCACTCTCCGTTAGCCTCCGACAACTTTCGTTGATGTGACAGTCAACCCTTATAGTTGACCGTTAAATGAGTGACGTGACAAATAAAAAATAATTTAAAAAACAAAAATTAATCTTTTACCATTTTCACCTCATTATAACATTAAATAACACATAAAAATTATTATAACCACCAAATATTATCATAACTTCCCGGCTAAAAGCCCTGCACTGTTGTGCAAAGAGTAAATGAAAGAAAGGAAATTTGAAAGGAGAGAGCAAGTCTTGGAAGAACACAACTGGAGAGCAGAAGAATCATGATCTTTCGTTCTTTCTTTCTTATCTTCGTATGTACAGAAAAGAGGCAATAATTCTGCTTCTCCTATTTACACATGTGATGGCAATTAAATTGCCATTAATCAAATCTCTGATAATGGATCTCGCTTGTCTATCGACCGACGCCTCTCAAAGAACGTCGGCGCTTCTCTTCTCCCTCTTCACTCGATATGTTTCCTTAAGAACGAAAAAACAAGGGTTTGGTCTAGTGGTAATACCACTAGCATAGAACCTGGAGGTCTCAGTTCGAATCCCTTCAGTAGTACCTTAATGACAACAAAATGAAACCTATATCACCCTTATAAAAATAAAAAATAAAAAAAGAAGATCGAGTGAAAAGGCCTTCTGCAGGTTTGTGTACTAATAGCTCTGCAAAGCGAGTGAGATAGAGTTTCATCATAGGGATCCCCCACAACAAGTAATCAGTGTTGTTCCCCGGCTTCCCCCACCCAAAATTGAACACTTTCCCAATAGAGATTTCTCCGGCGACTTCCCGAGCGTCGTACTCACTATCCATCTCTCCATCTGATCGTCTCTCCCGCAGTGCTCTAGATCGCTCTCTCCGCATATCGCCGTCCAGGTCTCAGTAGTAGTCGACCTGGGTCAGTTAGAACAGAGCACCGTCAATTCTCAATCGATCGAGGGAATTATCACTGCCCTAATAGACTAGTTTTGCAGCATCGACCCCATCATGGACCCAAAAACCGACCACTACAAAGTGTTAGGGTTGTCGTCGGAGGAGAAAGGACTCAGGATCTAACACAAGGCTCTGGAAAAAGGGCTCAGGGTCTCGCAGACGAAGGCGATGGTGATTTTATTTTTGTTGATTATAATAATTTATGTTTTATTTATTGTTATAATGATGTGGAAATGATAAAAAAAAATTATTTTTAAAATTATTCTTTATTTGTCACGTGACTAATTTAACATTCAACTATAAAAGTTGACTTCCACATCAATGAAAATTAACAGAGACTAAAGAAGAGAAGAGTGACCAAACTTGAACTGTTGAACTAATTTTAGTGATCATGAATGGAATATACTAATTTGAATGGAAAAGGTGACGTGAGTGACCAACTTGCAATTTACCCCACTCATAAATATCCATTTCAAGTAACACCGTAAAGTTCATCATCTGTTCCACAAAAAACACCCGCCAATCTTTAAGCTGGAAATGCCATCAGCAAAAACTCCAATAATTTTGCTGTAAACCACGTCCAATCTACAGTAATGTTTTTAAGATATGGGATGCCGCCTCCTGCAAATTTAGCCATGTTATTATATTAGAACATACTAGCACACAAGGGGAGTTCAAATACTTGACAAACTAGACCTCAGCATCAGAGTAATCTGGTTTCTCAGCAATGCCACATGCTAACAAATGTTCAAGACAAAATCAGTTCCAAAGTCTGACGTGAAGTTTTGAAACAAGATACCTCTTGGTCCGGCTTCGGTCTTCCTCATAGTCCATCACTCCACCCGGTTCAGAGTAGATCTCCTCATGCCCTCGGAAGTCAGCATCTGCCTGCTTACAGGGTGTAGCTTCTGCCACAATGTAAGTAAGACACATCGACCAACATACCCCACACAACTGAATAATTAGGAATAAGTTGTCTATTGTTATCATAACTGCAATCAAGCTCTTAATTTTGTGAAACAAACAGGCCTTTGGAACAAGATAACATCGCTTGAACGAAAAAACTTTCATATTTAAATAACATCCTTCATAAATTTAAAACTGGGATTTCGCATCGTTCTGCTACAACAGCAACTGACAACCATTATCATGATAAGTAGATTTGAAAACATATCAGTAACTCTCACAAGCTACTGAACAATAGCCATTTCTCCCCCCCCCCCCCCCCCCCCCCCAGAATCACAATAGCCCTTTCTCCAAACAACTACTGAGAGAACCTTCACCAAATAAGGTCTCGAATTCGGTTATCCAGATTTTGCACTATGCCGAGCCCATTTGGCATTCGTATTATTGTACATGGAACAATAAAATTGGACTTAACTGACCTTGAGGGAAAGAGTCTTCTTCACTTCTTCTACCCTATCTTCTACATCCTTCTGGTGCTTCTTGTCCGCTTCACTCATTGTATCAGCCCACTTGATCTTCTCTTGGATAGACACTAAGAGGTTATCAGATGTAGTCAACCTGAGTAGAGTATCAGGCATAAGTATAACTTCAGCTTCAACACTCACAACTGATGCATGAGACAGGGAATAAGAGCGAGCATCAGGATGCAATAAAAGCAACAATGGACTTAGATTTTCTTCAAAGCCATAAAGTACATACTGCAATCCAAGATATCAAGTTTCAGTTACGTTTAACACAATAACTGAAAGAGCTGCACAACTTTTCTTTAGGTCACCAATGGAACTTTTGAACAAAATATACTATGCTATTGGAGAATAATGAAAATTAGCAGAAGACGACAGAGTTTGCCATATATTTGCTCATTCAAAAATCCGACCACGGTTAGAACTGTATTTCTCAAACTAATGCCTACTTCTAGTTTCCTTCCAGACTAAGTGCAAAATGTGTACCCAATCCTTAGATAAACTACTAATTTCCATTTGACAGACGAACACACCATTGGCAAGGAACTAACAGATTACCAGTCCGACAGAGTATGCAACATATTCCCAAGCTGTCCAGGCCTTAGATCTCTCCCAGCTGCGAATTGTACCTGAACTAGAAAGAAATACTAGATGAACTTCAAAGGTCTCTAAACCATAACAGGGCCACTGTAGTGTACAGAAAAATCGTAGGGCAATTGCCAAAATCTCAGACCTCAAAGCACCTTCGTAACTGGTCAAGCTTTCCTCTGACAATTCCCTGAAGCCAACCGAGTAACAAGGAAACAAGTAAACAATTTATCAACCAGAAGAGAGTTAATGATGTCGATGAGTAAATGTCCTCCCTTCCACTATTTGATCCCTGACATTAATCCTAAACAAGAAGACCTACAAAACATGGAGCTCTAATAAAAACAGCGAGAACAGAACTGAAGGGGGACCTACCGAATACATACACTCGTTAATGAGGAAATCTTCAAGTTCACGGACATTAGTAACATCCAACTCCTGCATTAGCTGGTCATATGGAAGCACCTGGCAGAAGGTATATTCCAATCTCTAAGTCATGCAAGGACCGGACAAAAACCGTTTAGCACTGCAAGGAGGTCAAACTCATTCTCAAGAACCTCAAGCTGTTAGTTGGTGTAACATTATCTCCTAGTATGTATCCCTTTAAAATACTTACTCAGACTTCACACCGTAAAATTCCTTAAACGAAAGATTACACCACCGAATGACTACAACAACTATTTTAGGCAGGAAAGTAGACTTCCAGATGCATTCCACCCACGCTCATTGGCGGTGTAATGTAAGGATACCTTGTTTGATTCAGCCAGCGTAAGGACAGTAAGTTGCTTCAGCTTAAGTATTTGGTCAGGAACCAACTGAGGAAGACGAGCCATATTACCTGTCAATAAACAACATTTCACCACCACTGCGAAAGACAGAAAGCAAAGAAGATTTAAGTTCGATGGAGGTGCCCAATTGCTTACCCTTGTAATCACTCCATGTGCCATGTGCAAACAACCGAAGCGTATCAAGCAGCGTGGCATTCTCAGTCCCTTCAAGCTGAGGAAGTCATTAGTCAGGGGCAGTACACGAAAAGCAAACAAGATGGGAGTGGCATAGAGATAGAACCCATCCGTCAGGTTCGAGGCAGCAGCAGATAGATAACACTGACCTCGGTGACACTGGGCACGGCGAGAATCTCTGAGAAGGCAAAGAGGGAAGGGTTGGAAGTAGCCTCCAGAACAAGGGGAGTAATTGCTGAACCCTTAAGTGAAGAAGCTTGCTTCATGAAGTGATCGATCATTTCTGCTTGTTTCTGCTCGATGTCCATCTTCTCGAAGAACCCTGAAAACCCTAGATTGCAGCAACCGACGCAATACTACAGCTATACTAGACAGCGAGAATTAGGACTCCGCTTAGGGAGAATTGAAGAAAGTAAAAAGGGGAAAGGCGGAAAGGTAAATTTTCAAAGGAGGGAGGAATTTGGGTTAGGTGGAGAGCTGGGGCTCGGTTGGGACTTGGGAGTATATAGGCATAGGGCTGCAAATGAGCCAAGTTACTCGCGAGCAACTCGAGGCTCGAATCGGGAAAAACTCGTTCGAAACTCGATTCGTTTACTGACGAGCCAAGCTTGAGCCTAGCTATGTTCAGCTCGTGAAGCTCGCGAGCTAGCTCGACTCGGTGGCTTGTTGAGCTCAACTCGTGAGTTAGCTCATTTAGAGCTCATGAGATGTCTCAACATTGTGGTTTGAGGGCCAACTTGATCACTGACTTATGGACTAATCGATCTAATTTGGACTTTCATAATTCATAGGATTGTTAAATTATATATCTCACATCATGTGAAGTTTAACATGTTGAACATGTAAGAAAATATGCCTTATTTTTAACTCTATAAAGAAATTATGTAAAAAATTATTTCGATACTATGAAATAACATGATTTGAACTAGTTAACATTTATTAACTAAACAATATGACACCTAAAAATTATAATATAAGATTAATTAATGTTGAACATTTGATTATTTTTTTATCACTACATCAATCACATGTACCATACACGACATACAAAATGAATGTATTAAATACGATCTAAGAATTTAGTAAACAAGCCTAACTCGAACTCGACTCGACTCAGCTCGTTAATAAATGGCTCGGGCTCGAGCTCAGCTCATTTGTTAACGAGTCAAGCTCAAGCTGGGATAAAACTCGGCTCAGCTCGGCTCATTTGCAGCCCTAGGAGTATAGGTGTCAAAACAGAACCCGACCCGACTAACCCGCCCGATTAACCCGACCCACAACCCGCCCGCAACCCGAATTGACTAAAAGTCAACAACCCGCAACCCGCCCGACCCGCAACCCGATTGGCCGGTAACCCGATTAACCCGCAACCCGACTAACCCGCAACCCGATTAACCCGAACCCGATTGACCTGAAACCCGATTAAACCCGCAACACGATTAACCCGAACCCAATTAACCCGAACCCGATTAACCCGCAACCCGACCGACTCAACCCGAACTTTACATTATTCACCTGAATAATTATTATATTATATAATACATAGTCTTAGAAAATAAAGTTTTTCATTCTAAATTGAGATAAAATAATTTTTTCATTTTCTATAGAGAATTGAAAAATATGAAACTCACTTGAAATTATGTATTTTAATAAAATCACAATAATTGAAACATGAATGTCACATAAACATTAAGTTCTTTAAAAAAATTAATACAAAACTCAACTCAATTCAAGAAAAAACACGTTGAAAATTTGGCTCGATTCTTTGTGAATTGGCTCGTGAGCTGGCTCATTTGTTAATGAGCAGAGCACGAGCCAAAGTTTTTTCAACTCGAAGAGGCTCTCGATCTAGCTCGACTCGTTGAGCTAACTCATTTGAATTAGCTCGATCGAAACTCTCGAGATAGCTTGATAGTATGGCTCAAAACTTAAGTCAAAATCAAGCTCATAGGTCAACTTGATGATGTGGCTAGCAAGCTAACAACATTATATATATATATATATGCTCATAAGTCATAACGTAACTCATAAACTGGCCTTTTGCTAGTCATATAAACTGTACATTAGTTATACTATATATTCAACTCAGTGAGATAACTTAATGTGGTCCTAGACCTTATGTACGTGGCTAATATTCTTTACATGTATGATTGGTTGTCATATCTTAATTTATGTATGCTAAACACACATATCACATAGATATCGCTAATCAAATATGAATAACTTACTAAAGTATGTTTGGCTAGTATTCATTTGAATTAATATTTAACTTGTAACAATATCAATGTTTGATTAAAATCTTGTAGTGTCAAATGTTTATTCTATCGTTGATGATAACTCGGATGGTGTAGAAACAATATTAAGAGTTTAGACTTTCTGTGTTGGAGTTAGAGCACAAGATTGTGATGCCCGTTGCATAGGTATGGCATGGACTATATATGGTGGAAGATGGTAAAGAGACAGAAGGAATCTTCCATTCTTCATTGGCTAGCCAACTCATGTGCCTAATTGACAATTAACCACTTAATTAACTCATCCACCCCCACGATTACAGAGAGGAAGCCACATGACATGAATGGCAGAGGTCATGTATATATGGTTATATAATTGGATAGATAACCAAGAAACTAACTCAAATTAAATAGCTAACCCACCTCGATCGTGTGATATAGAAAAATATAGGATCTGCAAGCCATAATCATCATTAATTGACAATGACCTCCTCCTTCCGACGAGGTTCCTTTGTCTTCCTCACATCTCATCCACAGTAAAGCAGCCAAGGATGGCTTGTCCCAGATGAAAGAGTCTGTTGCCGAGCTTCAATCTGCAATTAGCAGAAGGCAAGGAGGATTGGAAGGTGAAACCAAAAGTTACCTCAAGTCTATGAGCACTGCGAGGAAAGAAATCCAGAAGGTTTTGATGGGTATGAACAACAAGAAGTCTACACCATCATAAAACAGTGAGACTATCTCCATGTTGAAGGAAGCTCAATCTGTTGCTGTTGAGGTTCTAGAGTGCTTGTTCTAGAGTGAATAAATAGTTGTATGTTTGCTACAGAAAGTATCATGTTTGCTGCTTGGCGTTGGCTACTGCAGGGTTACTGGTTTTTATACCACATCGGTTGTAACCAAAAAAATCTCTTCCCAAGATAGCTATAAATTGAGTGAACTTCTTCAGGCTAAGATTGTGGAGTCCATTAAGAAGCTCAATTTGATTTGGGCCTCTACTTATGGAATTCTGCCCAAGTGTAGCTTAGGTTGCATGCCTTTTGGGTTGCTGCCATAGCTATTGATATTAGTTTGGGTTGGTAAAACCCTACTTGAAGTTGTTTTTCAGTTTAGTTGGGCTCGGTGAATATGGCTTGTTGAGCTTGCTCAAGAACTCTTACTGACCCGAGCTTTGAAGCTTGCAGTGAGCTCTAGCTAAGTAATTTTTGTCGAGCCTTAATTGTATAATATATAGTGGATTTGTCAACATATTGTTATGTCGAGCCTTTATCAATTACGATTAATTACATGACAAGTTTGCAAGTCATACAAATTGGTTCAACATTTTGATTATTTTTTTTAATTAAATATATAAACGAGGTAGAAAGAAATTGGTTAAAAATTGTGAAAAACACTTTAAATTAGTGTTATAGAATATGTAAGTTGGTAACGAATAAGTAACTCGATGTGCTGCCCGAACAACCCGCAACCCGATCCGCCCACAACCCGTCCAACTCGAAACCCGATCAACCCGTAACCCGATTTGCCCGCAACCCGATTGAACCCAAACCCGAGCAACCCGCAACCCGACTAACCCGAACCCGATTGAACCCGAACCCGATTGAACCCGACCCAATGAACCCGCAACCCAATGAACCCGCAACCCGACTAACCCGCAACCCGATTGAACCCAGACCGAACCCGCCCGAACCCGCCCGATTGACACCTATACTTGGGAGCATGCAGAACGGTTGTCCAACCAGGCAACCACTACTATCCCAGCCGAGCCGGTACAATCCGATTCAATTGGTATTGGACAAAAAATGACCGGAAGATCATCGGTATGAATTATTAGGTAATTAAACCGATAAAAAGTACGATGATTTTTCTTATGTTAGTAATGTAATTTTTTAATTTAAATATAGATGGAGATTATATCGATAAAAAAAAAATGGAGATTATAAGTAGATTATCTTGAGATAGATTATATAAATGCACAAATCATTTGATTAATGGTTTCCTACTTCTTCATATGTTTTGACAAACTGGTATAAATGGACTATAGTAGGGATTGGCAACGGGAAACGGGTATTTGGGTATACTTGTATCCGTCCCTTTTTTTAGGGTTACAGGTATCCAAATACCCGCAAATTTTTTTACGGGATGGGACTTGGGATTAAGAATCGCTATTTTGGATACCTGCGGATTATTCGTTAATACCCATTTGAGTACTATGGGTACTCGTTTACCCATTAGTCCAAAATATATGTCGCATCCTTAGAGGAGAGCCAAATAAATGTACTTTGAGAAATGGGATAGTTGAGCAAACAGTACGCACAAATCATCAAACCTATCTAGCTAGCAGAGGATATATGCAACAATTATTGCATGGATCAGAGTGTGCTACAATTCAAGGCTTTTGCAATTTATCTAATTGGGTCATATAGTGACAGATGCAACATATACATTCCTCAATAGTGAAATTTCCTACACTCAATTGGAGATCACAATGATACTAAAATAGAAGCAGAGCCGGTTCTAATAGACAAATTTTCTTTTACGAATTTGTTGCTACTCCCAATTAGATGATGGGTATTTACAGGTAATACGGGTACCCGTTATCTGTCCCGTACGGGTAATGGGTACCCGTTAACCCATATGGGTTTGGGACATGGGATGAAGATTGCTCTTCAAATGGGATCGAGTACCCATTTTAAATGGGACGGGTATCCTATCCTGTCCCGTTGCCCACCCGTAGGCTATACTCAGTGGCGGCGCCAGTCAAGGCCAACATGGGTCATTTGCACCACCTTGGCCCAAAAAATGTAGAGTAAATTAGTCTACATGATTGTAGATTGAATACAAAATCTTCATATTATCGTACATAATTTTACGAAAAAGTAATGTTTGGTGATCTATATTTTACTTTTAATTCATATTTTGTGTAAAGTGAGTTTAATATAAACAAAAGCTCGAAGTGGTTGTTGCTATAAGTTGTTATTGCAAGTGTTGAAAGAGCACTTAGTGCAATCAACAAAGTGAAGAAACACTTAGAATAAGAAGAGGAATCATGAACAATTTTTCGTTGTGCTATCTTAACATCCTCCTAACTTGCATAATGAATGCATTTTAGAAAATTATCAGAACATGAACATATCTTGGAACTTACGTTTTTTCTTTTCTTTTCATGCTTGACGACCTACCTTAGATAAATTTTTGGCTACGCCACTGGCTATACTCCGGCTGGATCATACCACTTGGTAAACCGACGTAACTGTATAAGCAGATTTGGCAACCTTGGTTGGGAGGGAGTGATTTGATTTGG